GCTGGGGCAGCTCCACTGCCAAAGATCCTCTGTATCTGACCACAGGGAGGGACAGCTTCAGGCCAGCGTGATCTGGCAGGCCAAGCTATGGACTAAGAAGAAAGGACTAAACTCAGCTTGACACTGATTCCTTCCACATCCTGCATGAAACCACAAAAGCAAATCTATGCAAACTCAAGCAGCCACAGCAATTACCTACTGCTCCCATTGACTTGAATTTGTGCTCTCAAGGCACTTGAGTTTTACAGGATCTGCTTCAAAGATCACTGTTGGCAGTGGAAAGACTCCCACTGTCGGCCACATTAATATGGACCATGCCATGCATGTCAGCCACAGGTTTAAACATGCAGTGCAGAAAGACCCTGACAGCTTCCCATGACATATATGTCTGCAGCAGTGTCTGCCCTCCTGTGACCATGCACATGGCATTCTCCTCTGTAAGTACAATGTAAAATTGGGAAACACACTGTGCAACATTCCTCTGTCTCCCAGAAACTGGGATAAATAGTGGCAGTGCGTGGGAATTTGACTACAGAACAGTGGTATTTCCCAATTTTCTTTCCCCATCACATCAACATGAACTTAGGGTTCCTTGTCTGTACAGAAATTTACAGGAATTGTCAGAAAGGTTTTTTCAATGAGCTTGGCACTGGCACAATATTTGAATACAGTTAGGACAGAGACACCAGTGGATGGAACTGGTGCTTGGCAGAAAAACCAGGTAGAGCAGTTTGAAAATTCTGAATACAGACATGCTTTGCTGGAGCTCCAAGCTTGGGCTTCTGTTGCTGCTTATTAAATTAACAAATGCAATGACATAAGCAATAAATGAGGTCTAGGATTTGTGTATTTACTTTCCTAAGTAGATTTTTGAAAAATGGCAGAGGTTCATTCACTCAGCAACATCTTAGAATGTGAACTAGGTGCTTTATTTACAAATGTCTACATAGACAATCTAGACACAGACACCATACCCATTATTCTATACTTTTTGCATAATAAACTTCTATGATATGTCCGAGCTTAGGTTGATGACATCATGGAAGAGTATTCATGTCAATAATATTCCTACAATTTGAAGGAGCAAGATTGATTTTGTACAGGCCACACTTGGTACAAAGGAACTTACTGTTTATATTTTATAGGATTTAAAAATAAAGATATAGTGATAATGCGTAAAAAGAGACAATGTAACTTTTTTTAAAAGGTCTTCTAATAATTTCTATACCTGCTATATAAAAAAATATCACATAGAATAATATATCTTTAATATCTCTGGTCCAGAACTCATTGGATCACCAGGCATAGGTACACTACCTTTGAGTACACAATAAGTATACAAAGTTTAGGCAGATCTAAATATATATACTTATATATATATTTATATATCATGCAATCAACTGCTTGTAAACTAGATAGGAAAAGTACTCTCATTCCTTACCTTCCTTGCTATTTAAAGAGAAAGATCTTGTTTATTTTTTATGGCACTGTCAATGATAATTTAAGAGCAGTGCTACATTAAGAACACTGCTTTTAATCTTTATTTTCTACACATTTTTCACTTTATTCAAGTCAATGAGAATTCTGTATGTGAAGAACATCAGAGAGGTATGAGTAAGATGTTATTGTCTAAGCCACAGAAACTCACAAATTAGTTCTGGAAGAAGCGTAGATATGCTAGAATGATGATACTAAAGATTAGTGCCAGCTTTTTTATGGACATAATTATTGCAACAAACAGCTTTTTGCAAATGTAGGCAAATTGGAATGATGGAATCTCAATCATAACATTGCTCTTATTTCTGGTAGTTTCTCAAACAGAAAAGAACAATTTCTATCACCGTGTATGGCACAATCTACATGGTAAAATAATAGAAGTCTGCTAAATCTTATCTCAGTTTTTAAACAGATAGTTGTGGGCACAATATTAGACAAATTGCAGGTAGCTGAGCTACTTAAATACTAAAGCTGGCAATTTTTGTTTACAATTATTTTACCTCCTTGAATATGATCATCACTTAAGCTATAAATCTGAACTGATACATGTGTTTTCATCAACTTTTACAACAGAAAAAGAACATATATTTTCAGTGGTAGTAACAGGCAGAATTAAGGGAATATATTAAGTCCTAAAGTTGTTACACAATTTCTTTGCTATGCAGAAAAAACTTCATTGAACACCCCATTTCAAAATGTGTTTCTTATTAGGTAATTTCATAAAAGAAAAATACTGTATCATTTACTGATACACATTTTGTCCAGATCAGATTAGTTTATCTCTTTCCTTTATCCAGGTTTAAGGACTTTAAAAACACACAGCTACAGCCCTTTTCTTGGTAGGATTTGCTAACCAACTTTTATTTTTGACAGTACTAGCAAAACTAAGCATCAAAACCCAGGATATTAAGTAGTGCATATAATGTTCAAATTAAGAAACCAGTTATTGTCAAAAGCAGTGGTAACAAATGGGGACTTTATGACAAAAGCCTGATCCTGCCGTTGGTGCTCTGTTCTTGTGCACAATGTTTTCAAGGTTTTGAACATAACTGGTGAACACAGGGTCATCCTCTTTAGAGCTGTCCTCAAACTCAGATAACGTAAGGAAAGTGTGTATGTTTCTGTGAATGCTTACCTCTGCTTTTGCTCAAGAAAGCACTTGCTGATTAAACCAGAAAGAACTTGCCTGTGTTAGAAGAAATCTCCAGTTTAGCAGAATCATTTTCATATCACCTGTCCCTTAAGTAATGTAAACAGCAACGTGCACACACAGCAGAAGGCACTGACAGGCTCTGCTCTGGGATGCCACATGCACGTGTAGTCATCAATGTGCAAGGAGATGAAAAGCACGAGAGAACAGCCTTGAGAAGGCCAGGGGGAGAGTGGCTCTGTATACTTTTTGTGAAGAAACTGAGAAAACCTGGCTGGGTTAGTCCTACAGAACAAATGCTGAGAGAGGATATGATTGAATGCTGAGAGAGGATATGATTGCAGTCTATTAATACATCCTGAGATAAACACCAGGGAGGGAAAAGAGCTATTTCAGTGGAGGACAATGTTGGCAGGAGAACAAATGACTATAAAGTGACTGTGAGTTACACTCCATCCTAGAAACTGGAAGATTTCTACTTAGGAGAGGACTGAGGTTCTGGAGCAGATTCCCACACCAGCAGTAGCAAAGGTAAAATACTGAAATGCTTCCCAAGTAAAACCTGAATAGTTTTTAAAAGGGGCTGTATGATATGGCTGCCTGTAACCATAAACTGCATGTGATGAGCGAGCAGATGTTTCCCTGTCTTCTGTTCCTTTACTCATTCCTCCCAAACTCACAGCATAGTCACTGAGTATGCCAGTAGGAAGTCTTTCCACTTCCTGGTTCACAGAGAAATTGAAGACTTTACAAATGAAATCTGAAAAAAATTACACACTATGTGGAATTTAAGAGAATTAATGCTCCTATACAATCCTTAATTGTTCGTATCTCCTGGATTTATGTATGTCTTCAATTTTCACTAACATGTTTAAGCCCTAGTGCCTCAAAGCATAAAAATACCTATGAAATAAATAATGCATTACTGCTCCAACACTGACACACTCACTTGGGACCATCTGTGTGAGCTGTAGCTCGCACATACTGATTTTCAAGAGACCTGTTGATTTCATTTTGTTTCTCACACAGCATGGCAAAGCACAGTCCAGCAGTTTCTCACTCTGCCACATATTTATGTAGTAGCTGGAGTTTCAATCCTCTTAAGTAATGTATGCTATTACATGGTTCTATCTTTACATTATTCTGTAACATGCTAAATTAAGTAGATTAAACACTGAAGTGTATAAACCAGAGTACTTTTGATCTCCTAGTAAAGAAAATTTCATAGTTTCCTAAAGAAAATTCTTACTCAACCTAGATCAAAATAAGAAGCAAAACTATTTTCAAGTGCCACACCCAAGACGGCAAACATACTTTAATTCCATAGCTTTCATTAGAATTAATGAAAAATATGTAGTGAAAGTGATAAAGTTCATCTGTGCATAACAGCAAGAGGAATACACTCAAAGCTCATCTGACTTTCATGGTCTCCTTCCTCTGCTGGCAGATGTTTTTCTGCCTGTGTTTTGGTTTATAAATGTCTGACATCCTCAATAGCAAATTAACTGTAGTTAATATTCATGCAGATTAATTCTGCTGAAAGTCAAACAATAAGAGGCTAGGAGGTTAAAGTCATAATGAAGTGGATGCTGGTAATGTCCAGATCTGTGTTTTTAGAGTATTGGCAGCATTTTAGTTTTCTTGGGACTTTACATAGGATGTTGTTGAAATTGTGAAAGTTTAAGCCAGCAACACAACTGCATCCACCTGAAACAAGAAAATTAAGAAACCTGGTGCACTGTGCTTGGGAACCTCAGGGAAAAAAAACAAAACTGTATATTGGCAAGTGCTTTTAGTACACACTGATTTTTTTTTTTTTTTATTATTTTTTTAAGGAAATAAATATTGCCAGCTTTGCCACTACAGAAAAGTTCTAGGAGTCAAAGACCATCACATTTTGTGAAGTACAGCAAACCTCTTCTGTAGGACAAAAAAGGCTTTGCACCCAAAATATCTGGAGCCTGTGTTAGTGCAACACTGATTCAAAGTTCTCTTCAAATGTAACTATGTCTTCTCCTTTAGCATATGTAACTTGTATTAAGTGCCATTGCCAAACTGACTACACAGAGTGCTGCCCGATAGAAAATTACAAAGTATACATTTTTCAAGTTACCAGAATCTATTTAGCCAAGTGCTTAGATTAATGTCTTCTGTAATACTTACAAGGCAAATGAAATAGTGTACTTTGTCCATCGGCATTGTGATAAAGAATAGGTTAAAAGAACGCATGGCTTGTGTGGCACTTTGTCAAGATACCTCCTTTTGAAGTATTACAGTCAAATTCTGTGTCGCCAAACCAAGGACTGAAGAAAATCTTGATGTGTATTTTTTCAGAATATTATACATTACTTACCTGGGGGCAGTCTTTGATGTAGTGTCCCTTGTTAAAGCAGAGGTGGCACAGGTAGTTAGGAGGTGGCCTCTTGCTGGGTTTTCTGGCTTCTGAAGAAAGGGACAGGTCAGAGAAATGCTCAGTGAGGGAGCTTAACCCATCCACAATGTTATTAAGAGAGCCATAAGGTGATGCACTCTTGTAGAGACTGCTGCTCAGAGCCTGCAAAAGAAAACAAATAAGTCAGATGCAACACAGTACTGTATTAAGAACTGTTCTGAGGGAGATTTGAATAGGGGATAAATAAAAATAGCAGGAAAAACAAAGTGGTTCTTTTTTTCTTAGGAACACAGCTACACATTTGAGGGAAGCAATATACAGGCTATTAGTAAAGAGGTTTCACAATGGCAGTGCAATGGAGCTGGTCACCCCACTGTTGAGGAAACTACTGAGCTTGCCATGGTTCTTTTAGCCCAACCTTTCTGCTAAGCCATGATTGCTTTCTTGTGTTTGACCATAATGCATTCATAGTACAGTTAGATTATGCAGGCAAAAAGCTGAAAGAACAACTCACAAAACAGAACCCTTTTGTGTTCAAAACCACTTACACAAAGAATACTGAAGTCAGGGAAAGAACACCAAGAAAAATGCAAAGTAACTTCCAATTTCCAATCTGGCTAATCAGACAGTCAACACAGAGTCCCATGTTCAAAAAATAACAAGAAGCATTGAGAACAACATCTGGTTTGGATTTTCTAATGGAGAACCTGCTGTGATTTAAACATTTCCTGATAAACAGTAAATAGCTAGGTTTTGTACTTCACCTCAATAGGATCTTCACTCTCAATCTGTAAATCAAAATCAGTAGATCCTAATTTGCTATTCAGTAGTTTTAGAACAGCAGGAAACCCATCAACACCTAAATAGGTGTTCTCCCTAATGGAGATAACAAGGATTAATTCGCTTCAACCGCTTAAGGTCCAATAGAAACTGCATAGTGGAGTTCAAAAGGAAAATTAAAACACTTAAAAATTAACATAATAATGAATAACTGTAGAAATAGGACCACCTACTGAGTGTCCTTTCCATCCTCAGATGATGGGACACATTTCATATGGTGTTTCCACCTTAGGTCTTTAATGCTATGCTCATGTAATTCTCCTGCCATCAGAGAATTACTGCTGGCTCATGGGAAGGTGAGGTAAGAAGAAGTCCAATCTGTGACTCTGTGCTTTAATTCTACTGAATTCAAATATTTCAATGGAGTCTTTATATGTGCTTTCATATGTTTATTCATGTTATATATATTTTGAAGACATGCACTGATATTGATTTAGAGTTTGTGAAATTAATCTGAAATTGAAATTAATTAATTTCTGAGATCTCAAACATTCAGGGTGCCTGCATAATGAGTGCTTTTTGGGTCACAGCTGCATATGAAAAAAATCATATTAAAGCTCTGTCACAAATACCTGGGTGAGCCCCAACTATCCCTGAATTCCATCCCTCCACAGATGGTGTACACTATACAGAAAAATTCAGCCTAATAATCTGCTTCACCCACTTGCACTGTAGTCAAACATAACATGCTGAACTCCACTGACCCCTCTTCCAAAGCTGAAGCTGGTGCACAGCAGCAGGATCAATTCAAGAGGTCCCAGAGTGGAATCTGATCTCACATGGGACTTCACATATGCCCTGGAACTAAAACATCCTGTGTAGCATAGTTCTGTGCTGTGCAAGATGACGTGGCTGAGAGGAAAATCAGCCACTTTGTTTCAGGGGTTAAAGCCACAGATTTTAAAAAGAAAAGGTATTTTAAAAATTAATAAAAATATTTTAGCTGCTTTAGCCATCAAGCAACCAAAGATACCTCCTATGGTCACTGGAATTTACTTCTAAGATTTATTGGATGCTATTAGAATGAGAAATTCTTGGCATCAAATTTTGAAAAGGAAAAGGAAGTGCTGTGGATGCCAAAATAGTATTAATTAAGGGTCTTCAAGAAGTTCTTGTCTCCCTAGGAGCCACTTTCTCTTATATACTCTTGGAAAAATATAAAATCTTTCTTTTTAAGAGATCCTCTTGTCAAGAGATTCTTAAAGTACTTCACCTGCATTGCACCCATTAGTAACTTTGCAAATTCTTTATTATCTGATTTTATAGAAGTGTGAAAGTATGGGCACAGAATGTGTGAAGTTGCAAATTCTTTACCTATTGCCAAAATCTGGATTATCTTCTGGGGATGCAGAATAACTCCTGCCCATCAGAAGGTTGTTATTTTTTCCTCCGGGGCCAACTCAGTAACAAACCAAAACCTATCTATCTGCTGCCTACCGTGGCTTTGAATTGGACATATGGCATGCAGTGATGAGTGTTTTCTTTGCTACACATCCTTTACACTGAGCTATTGCCCTCAATAAAAGGGAGTAATTTGGAACCACAGCTGGGTATTATGTAACTCACTCGTCCACCAACCCTTCCTGGCATGTTTCAGGTCAATACTGAAAAACAAGGTGCCTCTCTCTGGCAGCAAACCTTCACAAAGTTTTGCTTCAACTGTGGCAGCCAGAGGCTGTGCCAAGGCTGGGATCCCATAGGAATATGGGCTGCACTGGCACTAAATCATCCCCTTAGCAGCCACCAGTGGTTCTGTGGCCAAAGAGTGGCACACTGCTCTAGAAGTGGCCACCTGGTTCAGCTGGCAGGGCACTCGTGCAATGAATGCCACAGCTGGACACGGCAAAACATTCAGTCCACACACGGCACTGTGAAACACTGCCCTATAATCATCTTGAGGCACAGTGTTAAAAAAGGAAGAAACAAATATAACATCCCAGAACATGACAGTAAAGGAGAAGATGGACATTGCTGATGACACTGGTACTTTAAAGAACAATGCATTCATTTGGAAAATGCCTAGACAACCCCAAGATGCTGCCCATCCCTCTGGGTATAGCCAGGCGAACCAACTCAGCAGTTCCTGCCCATCTAACCTGGAAAGTGGCCTTGAATCTGTTTGGCTCCAGGTCGATGTGAAAAACACATCACTCTGGCACTTGAAAGTTGCTATAAAGAGCACCAGCACAAATGGTGCTACATCCCGTTTCTAGCTCTATTTCTTCAGAAAGAGATGAGGAAATAAACCATTCCACAAAGCCAAGTTATATAATAAGGGTGGTAATGGGAAAGCTCCTCCTGGCCCCTGGAATTAAATAGTGAAAGCTTAGGACTTGTAACAAATGTGATGAAATGGTGATTGACTCCATTTTGTCATTGTAAAAGACAAGGGGTGAATGAATATTGCTGAGATACATAAAACAGTTTTGGTTTGGTTTCTTTTCTTTCTTTCTGGGGCACTCAATTGAGCAGAACAGCAATTCAGCCCTTACTAAGTATTTGCACTGCTACAAAGAAGATTTTTAAGAAGGGTTTTGAATAAAAATTTTGAATTAGCTTCACATCAAAAGGGGATGTCTGGGGGGGGGGGGGGGGGGGTGTGTGGTGGTGATTAGAGTGCCAGGGAGAATGCTGATGGCCCCAGACATAAAACAGAGATGAAGAAACAAATGCATTCTGACTCACTCTGGTCTCAAGTGTATTAGTAGTCATCTGGGAGGTGGCAGGGAGATTGCTCCTCTCATGATTTCCAGCAAAAGCAATGACTTGCTCTGTGTTCACATTGCAACACTAGCAAAGCCAACCTATTTTTTTAAATGGTAGACAACAGTACCTCTCAAACAGTCTCATTTTGAGCTTGAACAGGCGAGACAGGATTTGGCAGTGAAAGGGTTAATGCTCTGAAGGTGCCTGAAAGACCACACTGCATGTCCTAATTACAAGGCTCATCAGCCCAGCTGCAATGAATTCAGGATTTCCTTATCTTGCCATACTGGGGGGATGGGGATCCTGGTGGTAAAACTCAGAAACTGCCTTGGTGGGAGGTTTGAGCTGATAATGTAAGTTTGTCTATTTGTTTGTTTCTTCCTTCCTATGAAATTTGTTGATTTAATTGAGTATGAGCCAAACTGAAAATCTTGTATTGTGTTTTCCAAAAGTAACCTCACTGCTGGGTAGATTTTTAAACTGTACCTATTGGTGGTGTTGGGAGGCAAAGTTCCCTTTGTTATTTGTTTGCTCAGTGTTTCCAGTTAAAGGGTACATAATCTGTAAGGTTGCAGTGTGGTCCTTTGTGAAAGCCAGCTATTGTCTTCTATAGCTTCCTCACTCTGATTTCCAGTTGGGTAACAGACGTGAGTGACTCAAGAATTCCAGTACCTAATTCACCTCACAGATATGGCTAGTTACATGATTGGCTAATGCTCTTGATTCCCTTGGCTGGGTCTCTGCCTTTCAGAAACATCCTCTGGGATTGATGTGCCAAGAGGTAGAAAAGGAAACCCTGAAACCCTGGCTTTATCTCTTCAGTTTCTTTTTTAGCAATGGTATAATGTTGAGAGGAAAGACAACTGTTGTGAATATGCAATGAATATTAAAAGATAAATAAGAGACAAGTCTTATTTTCCAAATTTTCCATTGGTATGTATAGCTACTGTTTTACTTATAAAGGTTTGTTTTTTAAAGGGACTAGAAAGCACAGAGAACACAAGAGTATCTCAATTATGACATTTATGTCTGAGAATCTACCATACCAGCTGGTATTAATAAGCAATAGCAACTTGTTCATGTGGGAATGGTATCTTCTTATTAGGCATGGACTGGAAAACTAGAGGTATATCTGGAAAAACCAGTTTCTGCCCCAAGTTCAGTTTGTGGTTGCTGGACCTTTAAGGCAGTGATCAAGATTAACATATCCACCATTACATAAAGCTAGAATTACTTCTGCTGGTTGATGGGTGCTGTATCTGGCCAGTGCATCTGTCTGATGCTCTAGAAGTTAGTATGATTTGTGCTTATGGTTCTCTCCACAATTGTAGTAACTGCACACACTGAAGTTAGGTCCTGCAGCACTTCAATGGTCCTACAATCTAGTCCAATCATCAACCCTTCCACAACATGAAATAGTCTATAATTGAAAAGCAAAGAGCAAAGAATTTTTGATGACTTATTTTTCCTGCTGACCTAATAAAGCTAACACAAATAAAGCAGTCTTAATGGACAAAGTTTAAGTCAGCAGATGCCATGACTGTTTGTAGGAAAAGAGAGTTGGATTGCCCTGTCATCAGTATGGAAAAAGTAAGGTTTTCATACACTGTAAATTG